CGTGTGGCAGATGTGTGTTGCGACTGAGCGTGTGGCAGATGTTTGTGCGACTGAGCGTGTGGCAGATGTGTGTGCGACTGAGCGTGTGGCAGATGTGTGTGCGACTGAGCGTGTGGCAGATGTGTGTGCGACTGAGCGTGTGGCAGATGTGTGTGCGACTGAGTGTGTGGCAGATGTTTGTGCGACTGATAGTGTGGCAGATGTGTGTGCGACTGAGCGTGTGGCAGATGTGTGTGCGACTGAGTGTGTGGCAGATGTTTGTGCGACTTTAGTGAGTGTGTGGCAGATGTGTGTGCGACTGAGTGTGTGGCAGATGTTTTTTTTGCGACTTTAGTGAGTTTGTGGCAGATGTGTGTGCGACTGAGTGTGTGGCAGATGTTTGTGCGACTGAGTGTGTGGCAGATGTGTGTGCGACTGAGTGTGTGGCAGATGTGTGTGCGACTTTAGTGAGTGTGTGGCAGATGTGTGTTCGACTGAGTGTGTGGCAGATGTGTGTGCGACTGAGTGTGTGGCAGATGTTTGTGCGACTGAGTGTGTGGCAGATGTTTGTGCGACTGAGTGTGTGGCAGATGTGTGTGCGACTGATAGTGTGGCAGATGTGTGTGCGACTGAGCGTGTGGCAGATGTTTGTGCGACTTTAGTGAGTGTGTGGCAGATGTGTGTGCGACTGAGTGTGTGGCAGATGTTTGTGCGACTTTAGTGAGTGTGTGGCAGATGTGTGTGCGACTGAGTGTGTGGCAGATGTTTGTGCGACTTTAGTGAGTGTGTGGCAGATGTGTGTGCGACTGAGTGTGTGGCAGATGTTTGTGCGACTGAGTGTGTGTGCGACTGAGCGTGTGGCAGATGTGTGTGCGACTGAGTGTGTGGCAGATGTGTGTGCGACTGAGTGTGTGGCAGATGTTTGTGCGACTTTAGTGAGTGTGTGGCAGATGTGTGTGCGACTGAGTGTGTGGCAGATGTTTGTGCGACTTTAGTGAGTGTGTGGCAGATGTTTGTACGACTGAGTGTGTGTGGCAGATGTGTGTGCGACTGAGTGTGTGGCAGATGTTTGTGCGACTGAGTGTGTGGCAGATGTGTGTGCGACTGAGTGTGTGGCAGATGTTTGTGCGACTGAGTGTGTGTGCGACTGAGCGTGTGGCAGATGTGTGTGCGACTGAGTGTGTGGCAGATGTTTGTGCGACTGAGTGTGTGTGCGACTGAGCGTGTGGCAGATGTGTGTGCGACTGAGTGTGTGGCAGATGTTTGTGCGACTGAGTGTGTGGCAGATGTGTGTGCGACTGAGTGTGTGGCAGATGTGTGTGCGACTGAGCGTGTGGCAGATGTGTGTGCGACTGAGTGTGTGGCAGATGTTTGTGCGACTTTAGTGAGTGTGTGGCAGATGTTTGTACGACTGAGTGTGTGGCAGATGTGTGTGCGACTGAGTGTGTGGCAGATGTTTGTGCGACTGAGTGTGTGGCAGATGTGTGTGCGACTGAGTGTGTGGCAGATGTTTGTGCGACTGAGTGTGTGTGCGACTGAGCGTGTGGCAGATGTGTGTGCGACTGAGTGTGTGGCAGATGTTTGTGCGACTGAGTGTGTGTGCGACTGAGCGTGTGGCAGATGTGTGTGCGACTGAGTGTGTGGCAGATGTTTGTGCGACTGAGTGTGTGGCAGATGTGTGTGCGACTGAGTGTGTGGCAGATGTTTGTGCGACTGAGTGTGTGGCAGATGTTTGTGCGACTGAGTGTGTGGCAGATGTGTGTGCGACTGATAGTGTGGCAGATGTGTGTGCGACTGAGCGTGTGGCAGATGTGTGTGCGACTGAGTGTGTGGCAGATGTTTGTGCGACTTTAGTGAGTGTGTGGCAGATGTTTGTGCGACTGAGCGTGTGGCAGATGTGTGTGCGACTGAGTGTGTGGCAGATGTGTGTGGGACTTTAGTGAGTGTGTGGCAGATGTGTGTGCGACTGAGTGTGTGGCAGATGTGTGTGCGACTGAGTGTGTGGCAGATGTGTGTGCGACTGAGTGTGTGGCAGATGTGTGTGCGACTTTAGTGAGTGTGTGGCAGATGTGTGTGGGACTTTAGTGAGTGTGTGGCAGATGTGTGTGCGACTGGGTGTGTGGCAGATGTGTGTGCGACTGAGTGTGTGGCAGATGTGTGTGCGACTGAGTGTGTGGCAGATGTGTGTGCGACTTTAGTGAGTGTGTGGCAGATGTGTGTGCGACTGAGTGTGTGGCAGATGTTTGTGCGACTTTAGTGATTGTGTGGCAGATGTGTGTGCGACTGAGTGTGTGGCAGATGTTTGTGCGACTGAGTGTGTGGCAGATGTGTGTGCGACTGAGTGTGTGGCAGATGTGTGTGCGACTGAGCGTGTGGCAGATGTGTGTGCGACTGAGTGTGTGGCAGATGTTTGTGCGACTGAGTGTGTGGCAGATGTGTGTGAGACTGAGCGTGTGGCAGATGTTTGTACGACTGAGTGTGTGGCAGATGTGTGTGCGACTGAGTGTGTGGCAGATGTGTGTGCGACTGAGTGTGTGGCAGATGTGTGTGCGACTGAGTGTGTGGCAGATGTGTGTGCGACTGAGTGTGTGGCAGATGTGTGTGCGACTGAGTGTGTGGCAGATGTTTGTGCGACTGAGTGTGTGGCAGATGTGTGTGCGACTGAGTGTGTGGCAGATGTTTGTGCGACTGAGTGTGTGGCAGATGTGTGTGCGACTGAGTGTGTGGCAGATGTGTGTGCGACTGAGTGTGTGGCAGATGTTTGTGCGACTGAGTGTGTGGCAGATGTGTGTGCGACTGAGCGTGTGGCAGATGTGTGTGCGACTGAGTGTGTGGCAGATGTGTGTGCGACTGAGCGTGTGGCAGATGTGTGTGCGACTTTAGTGAGTGTGTGGCAGATGTGTGTGCGACTGAGCGTGTGGCAGATGTGTGTGCGACTGAGTGTGTGGCAGATGTGTGTGCGACTGAGTGTGTGGCAGATGTGTGTGCGACTGAGTGTGTGGCAGATGTGTGTGCGACTGAGCGTGTGGCAGATGTGTGTGCGACTGAGCGTGTGGCAGATGTGTGTGCGACTGAGTGTGTGGCAGATGTGTGTGCGACTGAGTGTGTGGCAGATGTGTGTGCGACTGAGTGTGTGGCAGATGTGTGTGCGACTGAGCGTGTGGCAGATGTGTGTGCGACTGAGCGTGTGGCAGATGTGTGTGCGACTGAGTGTGTGGCAGATGTGTGTGCGACTGAGCGTGTGGCAGATGTGTGTGCGACTGAGCGTGTGGCAGATGTGTGTGCGACTGAGTGTGTGGCAGATGTGTGTGCGACTGAGTGTGTGGCAGATGTGTGTGCGACTGAGTGTGTGGCAGATGTGTGTGCGACTGAGTGTGTGGCAGATGTGTGTGCGACTGAGCGTGTGGCAGATGTGTGTGCGACTGCACAGCAAATGTAGATGAGTTAAATTCACTGTGTTGGTGTTGATTTGTGTAAAGTGATAAAAAGTCTGAGTTGATTTGACCACTTTTTGAGTTATTTTAACTCGTCATTTGTCATTTATAAAAATGAGTTGGAGTTCCCAGACAGTGTTGCGCTTTCAACACTTCTGGCGTGTTTCTGTTTGTGACGTCACTGACTCCACCCTCCACGAGCCAGCGACGAGGACGTAGTCAGCAGGTGAAGTTCTCATTCAACCGCAGCGGTGAAACATCTCAAGTAAGGATACATTTCAATTTCACCTTTGTTTAAAATGCTAATTGTTGCTTTGCTAATAATAATCATCAAAGTCACCTAATGTAGGCAAAGCAACCAATATGGTGCTTTATACTTTTAAAAAAAAAACTTGTACGTGTATTGTAATATCATCATTTGGCTGCATAATTATGTTTTGTGAAGTAAATATACATTTGACGACAGTAAAAGTAAAGCTAAAATGCTTTTTTTCTGTGCATGATTAGTTACCTTTAGCATTAGCTATGCTTTTTTCACTGGGCCTGCCTTCCACTCCTCGCCCACCTTGTGCTAGTACCCTTTCGTCTTTTGCAATATTTGGTGTCCAGCCTGGTGCTGATGTGACTAGCAGCTTGTTGATATCATTTGCACGCGGCTCCGATAACTACCAAAGCATTAGCCCAGTCCTCAGCCACTAGTTATACACGTGGGTAGCTTTAGTAGCATGCTAGCTTAAATACGCCTAGCATTTGAGCACGTGCTGCGTAGCTAGTTTTTCAGCCCGTTGACACCATTTGATCAGTCTTCGCTTTTATCGTTACCATCGGAGTACGTGTTTAGTGTGCAAAGGTATTTTATTAATGTGCTTAGCATTAGCCACGTACACGTTTTTAGCTTCAGCATTGATGCACATGTGCGGAGTGCATGATACATTTGATTACAGGGTAAAGCAATAATGCTTCTGTGTGTGATTAGTTAGCTTTTTTTCCCCCACTGGGCCTTTCCACTCGTTGTCCTCTTTGAACTAACAATGCTGTTCTTTCATCTTTTGCAATATTTGGTGTCCAGCCTGGCGCTGTTGTGACTTGTAGATTGGTGATATCATTGGCACACGGCACCGATAACTACTAAAGATTTAGCCTATACACTTGGGTAGCTTTAGTAGCATGCTAGCTTAGATACGCTTAGCATCGGAGCACGTGCTGCGTAGCCTAGTCATTGCGCACAGGTCTCCATGTGCTTCCCGTTAGCATCTTTAGCGTCTTGCTGTGTTACTAGTTTTTCCAGTCCGTTGACACCATTTGATCAGTGTTGGCTTTTATCGTTAGCATCGGAGTTTGTTTTTGGTGTGCATAGGTATTTATTCAATGTGCCTATAGTTAGACACGTACACGTTTTTAGCTTCAGCATTGATGCACATGTGTTTTGTCTGGGCAGTGGGCATGTGCCCTTTTAGTATTTCACTGTACTTTTGTCTGTGACTGGCTTTTTCGTTTTTTAAATTGGACTGTGGTACTATAATGTTTGTAAAATGTTTTGCTTCATGATACTACCATGACATTTTTTTCCCTTTCCCACTTAGAAAAATGTTAATCCCAGTTAAATTTGGTGAAGTCCAAAAGTACATCGCACTGGTTCCAAGTGATGATGGCTGTAGCGACTTTGACACGTTCCATCAGAAAGGTTGGTATGTCTGTTCCAGAACTAATGCAATGTGTTGTAAACAGTTTGTACATTAATGTGTAGCGCATTACTAAAACAACATGCCATATGACACACTTGCACCTGCCTTAGATTGGGAAATTACGCACAAACCCTGTTTGAAGTTACACAGAATTTATAAATGTTCTAAAGCATAGTTGTGGTAATTTTGCTTAATTACAAAACAGGGATGAAGGGATTATTAGTTGGCATAATGTTAATATTTAAATTTTTCTGTGAGAAGTTTCACAATTAAAGTATAATTAGATGGGGTACTTGAATAGCCATTTTTATTAGCTAGGTCTTTTAATTTTGTGTTATTAATTATACTTTGTGTAACTACTCAATAGAAACATCATTAAATGGAGAAAACATAATAGCTTTGTGATGAGGTGACTATCTTCACCCTCATTTTGGGCCATAGGATTATCCTGGGAGTCTAATTTCAAGATCTAAAGTTTATGAACAACCAGACGAGTAACTCGTCTGTAGTGGCCTAAGTGTTGATATTTGAAAGAAGTTAGACGGATACTTTACTGATCGCTGGTTTGGCCCATTTTCTATGATCTAGCCTAAAGTAAAAGGATAAACGCTTTTTTAGCATAAAAAAAAAAGCTCAGCCTTACTCCAATGGATTTTTGGCTGATCTGCTTGTTTCAAACCACGAATTCAAATGCAGTCATCAAGTTAGACATTTTACTTTTTTTTTTTTCTTCAGTCACGGAGAAGCTCGGCCTTCCACTCGGAACACAGCTGCACTTGACGGATGAAACGGGCACAGAAGTGGAGGCAGATGTGTTTGGGGAGCTTTTGGAGAGAAGTAACATCACAATCAACGTATCTGCACAAAAATCAACTGGTGGGCTTAAGAAACAAAAAAGATGTACCATTTATAGACTAATAATTTATTGGTTTGCTTTCAGTTGTACTTGATTTTTCCCCAAGCTCACAAGAATCACTTGGATCCGACATTTCCAGTCCTTTAGCTGGAATCATCTGATTCAGATTCAACAATTATAGTAAGGAGCAATGGAGGAGAGCACACAGATTATGAAAGAGAGAAGGCTAAACAGGTACTGAATTCAACAGACTTTCCACTGGGCATTAAGTCATACAATGTATCTTTTAGGAGGGACCTTAATTTTCATTAAACCTCAGTATTCAAACATAAAATCCTTCAAATAAGTTTGGCAATTACAACATTGCATTACTAATTTCACTGCAGAAGATTGGTCACAAATGTAGAAGTTAGGGTCTTGACTGCAGTTTTGGCAGAATTTTTTTCCCTTGCAAGTCCTCAGTCATACAGGTGTGATTTTCTTTACAATTTCATCCATAGTTGAATTTATGGCATTAAAATTACATTTGGAAGCATAATATGTGACTTGCTATTATCTGTATAAACCCTGTATTATATGTACCTTTGTTTTTAGATGGCGCTGAATGCAATACAGTCAAAAGCAGAAGGACAAGGTCTCATGGAGGAGTATTACCAATCAAAGAAAATATCAGAGAAAAAAAGGATTGTCATTGTGAATCAGGTTGTGGCAAAAATGATGGAGGATTATGGGTATGTAATTAAAAAAAACAATGTTTAAACTGTAATCAAAATTATGACAATATTCAATTGCTTCTACTTAGGGGCTGTCCACCAGTCCCTGTTCGGATCATGTATGCTCTCGGAATAGTGACACTGTTCCCGTGCCTGAGGGATCCGTTTTCAGAGACAGGATATGTAAGTGAGGTTTACTTTGTTTATGTTGATTTCATTTCAATATGTCTAAAGTTTATTATGCACCTCCAGGAGCATTTTTATGATCCAGTAGGCACCACAGGGTACATAGCATGGCGTTTGAAGACATGTAAACGCAATATGCTCCCACAGTCAAAAAGACAATCGAAAAGTTATGACCCTGAAGTTGGGCCAAAGAGGCGGAGATCTCTTCCTGAAAATAACCAGCTACATGGAGATGACTGCCTTGAAGCAACGGCACTGCTAAAGCACTCGGCCAATGAAAATGTGGTCATGGAGAAAATGAAGTCTACATTTCAGTATCGCCAGTCTATGATCCATGATGAAGAAAGCTCCCTTTCAGTCCTGGATGTCTTCACAAGATTCCTTGATACACCGGGTCTGGTAAGAGAAGCGTAATATTGTCTCCCAATTGCATAAGTATGTGAGACTGATTTATTTCCTTACAGATAGAACAAGACTTCGCAATGATGTTTGGGGAGGAGGTTTCTAACCGATTCCTGTCAAAGTGGCCCACTTTCTTTAAAAATCGGGTCCTGGAGGAGTGTGAGGGCTTGTATTGCAGTGATCGTGTGGATGCACTTTTAACTGAAGATGGTAAGTTTTTTGTCACATTTTTTGTGTATACATTTTCTGATTTCTCTGTACTGCTAGGTTGGGATAGTGACTTGTCCAGTGTGTTGCTTTTAGTACACATGCTTCCACCTGCTCCCAAAGGCATCAAGAAAAGTGCTAAAATTAGCGCTGCACAAGCAATCAAAAAGCTTGTCCAATACTTACAGGTATGTCATTTTCAATTTGCATGTTTCAAATTAAACAAGTTATATTCAGTTTATGCTTTTGATCCAAACTCTGCTCTTGATTAGTAATGGTCTTGAACTCATTTAAATTTGGACTTTTGTACATAATAATTCACTATCTATAAAAAATAGACTAAACCTGAATAAATCAACTAAATAAAACCATAAATTTGAAAATTGTTGCACACAGACTGCCTAATTCTTTTATGATATAAAAAAGCTCCTGCAGGCCAAATTAAAAAATGAGATTTGGCGCTTTGTGTTGCCCTGTGTATGAAAGGCGCTCTACAAATAAACTTTGATTGATTGATGGTGTCATTGTAGGCAGATAACTCTGTGTTTCTTGCTGAAGTGAAAACAATAGTGAATAATAAATGGTCAGCGCCATCAGTCCTATTTTTTGCCTAAAAGTTCAGATTTTTAATATCTATTACACTGATTTTTATTTTTGAATGTGCATGTTACTTAAGTTTCACTTCATAGATTTTATTATTTTTCACATGCTGTGTCTTAATTGCAGAAAAACAAATATTTTTCGAGGACAAAATTACATTTAATTTACAATTATGTTTATACATTGTTCATCATGGATTTAAATATTTTTTATTTAGATTGGTGTCAGCATCGAAGTCTTCCTTGCTGGACTTGAGCCTGGACAGCCTCTTCTACTCTGCGTGGGTCAATCAAAAAACAGCATCCAGAAGTTCTACATAATCGTTGATCACAAGCCAATACCCTGCAGAGCTGAGACATCACTTGCTGCTTTTGATGAACTGTTCAAATCGCACTTCATCTTTGGTCTCAACTATGAAGAATCCCTCTGCAACTTCTACACTTTCATTCAAACTACAGTTTTCAATATTGACGTTGGCAACACTAAAGAAAGTCCAAGAGTGAAGGAACTCCGGGCCAGAATTTTAAACACAGATCAGTAAAGTGATGTTCACTTGCTTTACTTGTAAGGCACACCATAGAAGTTCTAAGCTCCTTTTTCAGCATTTAAGACATTCTCATGCGTTCTATCCCCACAAGTTCTTGAGGTTAAAATGTGGGCAGAAAAATTGTAGTTTGACCTTTTGTACTTACAGAGGCTTCAAGAAACACCTTGAAAAATTCCACAAGTTGACAGAGACTGTAGACTGTGTTGAATCCACACATGGATATGTGGCACATGAGGAGGCATCAACATCCTGCCAGTCTGACCCATCACAAATATTTTGTTCAGAAAGCTTGCCACCACCAAAGAGAAATGTTGTTAGCATGTGTGGGTCTGTTGTTGCACAGCTACAAGCATCTGGTGCTGCAGAAAGTACAGTGCAAGCGATAGTAGAGTCTATGGAGTGTGTTGTAACGGACTTGCACAGTCATGCAAAAGGGGCCATCTTAAGTAGCATTTCCGAAATTCAAGACAAAGATTTTAAAAATAAAGTGGAAGAATGCTTTGACAAACTGGAAAATCCATTTGCCAGCTTTAACACTAGAAGCAAACGTCAAAAGTTTTTTGACACTAAATGGGAGTTGGTTGAACCACTCGAACATGTCCTTGGAGCTCGACTTGATGTACGTAAAAACAGAACCACAGGAGTTTATTGCCAAGTGCCTGTAACCGATAAATTTGTGTATGTACCTATTTTGGGCACACTCAAGTCTTTATTCAAGAACCCTGAAATATGTCAAGCTTTTTTACAGCCCAAAAAACATGAAAAGGGTATTTACAGAGATATATGTGATGGCTTTTTTTCATAGCAATGTATTATTTTCCCAGAAAAAGCATACTATCCAAATTCAACTCTATTATGATGATTTTGAGACTGCAAATCCCTTAGGATCAAAGAAAGGGATACATAAACTTGGTTGTTTATATTTTATTTTACGAAATTTGCCTCCAAAGTATAATTCTGTTTTGACAAACATTCATGTTTCTCTATTTCACTCTCAAGACTTGAAAAAATATGGATTTGATGCCATTTTAAAGCCCCTTATAGATGACCTTAAAATATTGGAAACACAAGGCATTGATGTTCCTTTTTCAGAAACACCATTGCTGGGTTCTGTTGTACAAGTAACTGGTGATAACTTGGGACTGCATGGCCTTTTTGGTTTTGTAGAATCCTTCAATGCTACCCATTTCTGCAGATTCTGTTTAATCAGTAAAGAGGACTGTCAGTCTGTATTCAGTGAAGACCACCCAAGCTTGGTTTTTCGTACACCAGAAATTCACACAGAGCATTGTGCAACTTTAAGAGAAAATCATTTGATAGGTTCTACCTTTGGTGTTAAGAAATCTTGCTTGCTTAATACTCTCCATTTTTTTCATACTTCTGAAAACTATGCAGTGGACATCATGCATGATTTACTAGAAGGTGTCGTTCAATACGAACTAAAACTTGTCTTTAAATATTTAATTGATCAGAAATGTCTATCTTTAGATACATTGTCACAAAGAATTCAAAGTTTCAACTATGGCTACATTGAAAGAAAAAATCGACCAAGTTGCATTAAAATGGAGGATGGTAGTAAAGATCTTGGACTAAATGCCATACAGTCATGGTGTCTTGTCAGAAATGCTCCCCTCATGTTTGGTGATCTTGTGAACAGAAATGACAGTTGTTGGAATTTGTTGCTTCTTTTGATTCAGATTGTAAACATTGTTTTTTCCCCAGTTATAACTTATGGCATGACATACTTTTTGAAACATTTGATTCATGAACACCACAAATTGTTCAAGTTATTGTTTCCACAAAAAAGATTAATTCCGAAACATCATTTCATGCTTCATTATCCCAGATGTATCCGTAAAATAGGTCCGCTCCTACATGTATGGTGCATGCGATTCGAAGCTAAGCATAATTTTTTCAAAAGATCTATTAAGAACTTTAAAAATCTAACAAAATCTTTAGTTAAACAACACCAGAGACAACTTGCTTACCACTGGGAAAATTTCAACTTTGAACGATTTGAATGTGGACCTTTAAAATGTGTTGTGGTTAATGGTCTGGATGGAGAGGCTACTTTGTGTTCTTTTTTTGATTTGAACAGTTTTGCTGAAGTCTCTATTACAAATTGGGTAAAAAGCTATGGAACCGAGTATCATATTGGGATGCTTGTGTATGCTCAGAAAGAAATTGACATTCCAATGTTCAACAATATAGTGAACATTGTCATTAAAGATGACAAAGCATTTCTTTTGATGTGTAAAATGGATACACTTTATTTTGATGAGCATTTCAATGCCTATTGTATCGATGACACAGGAGAGTCCTATTCTGTTATTAGTGTAAGTGACTTGAAGTATTACAGGCCCCTTGACAAGCAGTTTTCTAATGCAATGGATGATAAAACATACGTTGTTCCAAGTTACTGCATTGTTTAACCCTGCTGAATTTTCTGTACAATGCAAAGCTGTGTTAAATGGTGTGCCTTTCAATAAATGTTGAAAGTTAATGTATTGTTGCCATTTTTTGGGGGGCTTTTGTAAGGCATAAATTTAACACAAACTGTGTTAAGAATATAACACTATAAATTGAGTTAACATTACACTGTCAGGTGTTAAAAATTATATGTGTTAGAATACGTGAGTTAATTTCAACTCATAATGTGTGACATTTAACCATAAAAGTGATGTGCGGTAACTCTTTGTTGGTGTTAAACATGTAACACTTTTAAAAGTGTTATTTTACATCAATCGGGTGTGGACCACTATTAACATTTTTGAAGTGTTGGATATAACTCGTATAGAGTTAAAGTAACACAGGGAGATTTGCTGTGTAGTACTCTGCAGGGTTGAGTAATCATCAAGTTGGACACGGAGGCTGCGTACCAACAGCAGATGTTGTCACAATTCAACAGATGATTGGAAAAAAATCTAGTTTAATAAAGTGGTGACTCTCACGGTGCGTAACCAAGGAGACCACATGAATGAACCATCTTATACCATCTGATGCTGTGACCCGTCCTGCTCCACCTAGAGGCTACTCCACCTCTGCTGCTGTGACCCGTCCTGCTCCACCCAGAGGCTACTCCACCTCTGCTGCTGTGACCCGTCCTGCTTCACCCAGAGGCTACTCCACCTCTGCTGCTGTGACCCGTCCTGCTCCACCCAGAGGCTACTCCACCTCTGCTGCTGTGACCCGTCCTGCTCCACCCAGAGGCTACTCCACCTCTGCTGCTGTGACCCGTCCTGCTCCACCCAGAGGCTATTCCATCTCTGCTGCTGTGACCTGAAGGGCTGTTGCTGATTATTACTATTGTTAGCTTTTTTGAAAGATCAATTTCATTTTTCATTTGTGCTGCTACTGGACACCTGAATTTCTCCGACGGGTATCAATACAGTATCCATCTATCTATCTATACAGTGTGGTCTGCAGGAGCAGCAGCATCGCAGAGAGAGACAGGAAGAAGCTGACAAGGTCATCAGGAAGTCCAACTCAGTCCTGGGCTGTTCCCTGGACACAGTGCAGCAGGTGAGGGGCAGGAGGGTCCTGGACAAACTAACATCTATGCTGGACCATGACCGTCTCCCCCTGCTGGACACTATGTACTCTGAGGAGCAGCTTGAGTGACACACTAATCCACTAATCACTGGAAATATCAGAATCCTCAGAGATAATGACATATTACTTAAATATTCTTGCACTAGAGTGGATTACAGATAGAGAGGGATGTATTTGTTCAAGAGAATATAGGTCTATGCAATATGGACTTGGCTTTTTTATTATATTTTCATTATAGGAGCTCTTAATCTTAAAGTGGACATATCGTGTTTTCAAATAATTGATTTTTACATCTAAATCATTAATTTGTGGCCTATATAAAGCGTAACTGCAATGCCTGGGTCTGAGTCTCATTATTTGTAGCTACACGGGCCTTTCTTCTACACCTGTTCTGAGGTTGCCTGGCCTGCCAAACGATATGCTTTTTCAAAGACATATAGTCTGGGAACGAGCTTGATCTCAGCGAATTCCCGGTGGGCGTGGTTGACAGACTGCATCAACCAATTAGATGCACACAGGATATGACGCAGCAACTAGCGGCACCCAAGCCGTTTCAGTAAACACAAAACAAGGGATGGCGGCATGTCAGCTAGTGCAAATGTAAACGACTGCTGTCGATTTTGTAACAAAAACTTAAAGATACGAGGAGTTATTAGCAACTCAAAGGTGAAAGGAAGTCCCGCCTCTCGGTGCGTGATTGGACCGATGTGGGTAAAATCGTGAAATGATATGCTAGGAAGAGGTGTCCAGACGGTTCTTCTTTTGAACAGAAAGGAGGAGTGTCTGGCAGGCCAGGAAAGTTCTGAGGTGCGTCTGAGAGCAACCTGTTTTGGTGCTGTCTCTTTAAATGCAAATGAGGCGCTTTTGACCACCCCCCCATCCAGGTGACACAGGTTCAACTCCACCCCAAGCGGCCATTTTTGTAGTTTCTAAGCACAGATACAATTATCTCATAGAAACTTCTCATTACATCGCAAACATGAAGCAGGCCTTCCTCATTGACGCAAATGTTAATTTTCATTCTTAGTCCAGTCTTATTATCGACTCTTCTCTTTTTAGCTTTGGGATCCATGCGCACAGTCAAGGCAAGGAAAGGCAAGTTTATTTATATAGCACAATTCATACACAAGGCAATTCAAAGTGCTGAACAAAATATTAAAGCATTAAAATCATAAATAATCACAGAACATTAAAAAGAAAGATAAAAATATAAAATCCCTCAGTTGTATGCACAGCTAAACAGAACTGTCTTTAACCTGGTTTTAAACATTGTCAGAGAGGAGGCCTGTCTCACATCTTCAGGAAGACTGTTCCAGATTTTAGCAGCATGAATCTGAAAAGCAGCCTCCCCATGTTTAGTTCTGACTCTGGGCACTAACAGGAGTCCAGTCCCTGTGCTCCTCAGAGTCCCAGCAGGAGTCCAGTCCCTGTGCTCCTCAGAGTCCCAGCAGGAGTCCAGTCCCTGTGCTCCTCAGAGTCCCAGCAGGAGTCCAGTCCCTGTGCTCCTCAGAGTCCCAGCAGGAGTCCAGTCCCTGTGCTCCTCAGAGTCCGGGCTGGTTCATATGGTACTAACATGTCACTAATATATTTTGGAGCGAGGCCATGGAGAGACTTGTACACAAGCAGAGCTCACATGCCGGTTTGTTTACAACAGCGGCCGCCTGGCGCTGGCCTACGTCACAGGATAAGACGCACTACGTTGACAGAAATGTTTAAATTGAATATTACTTATGCACAATTTTACAGCATTTAAAAACGTTAAGAACATTTTTCATTCTACAGAAGGAAAAAGACGCATGCACCTCCGGAGCCGCAGGTTGCCGACTCCTAGTTTATACAGTATGTGGAAGCAAATGCTGTAGAGGATCAGGATATGTGCAGTTTCAACAACAAAATAAAATGCAATAGTCTACATTACAAGAGAGAATAAACATATCTCAGAGTGAGGGAGGTGGACACAGACAACACTATTGTTTGTTACAGGGATGAGAATTGGTCAAAAAAGACTGAAATGCATATTGTCAGGTATTTGCTGGCTCTAAATCTGTTTAATTTGTTCACAACATATTACTTTTGGGCTCAAACATGAACTTTTAATGCAATGCAAAATGTAGGTATCAGAGCTTTATTTAGGGTGTTTCATCGTGCTTCGAGAGGAGAGGGGAGACGCGGACTGTTTCCTGCAGCAGTAGATTTATTGGGTTCACAGATTACTCAAAGACACGCATGGTCCTGTGCGCGTTTATGGGGTTGGGTACATGGCGTTGGGTACACGTTGAGGCTGCGCGCTCAGCCACAACACGGTGGAGCGGCTGCGAGCGGCTGGAGGCTCACAGCCTCTCGCAGCCGCATTACAAAGCGGCCGCAGATGCCCCGGAACACTGCGGCCGCTGAGGTGGCGGAATCCCGTTCGAGTACATACAGCAGGTGCCCCGCGGATACGCGCGCCCCCTCGAACAATTCTCAACGGATTTACACTTCTCATAAACATGTGTTTTGTATGAGGCAGACAGACCGGCCCAATTATGGGCATCGGCCCTTTGGGCATTGCCCGGTACGCCCGATGACCAGTCCAGCCCTGTTCGCTGGCATCCTTGAGCTTGGACTACAAATTCGAAGTGATGCACAGTAGAGGAGGGCTGGGCCGAAGTGTTTTGTTAGACGCCCATGCCCTTATATAGCAGTCCCGCTGCAAATACTGTGACGTAATAATTCTAAACACGTAATAGAGAATGGCAAAATCAGAACGGGTTGAAAAATCTTACCTAAACAGAATATGAAGTGTTCTCTGCAACCCATGAAGAGACTGATTTCAACTTTTTTGCACTTCTAGAGGCTCCAACTACACAACATAAGGAATTTAAGACACAAAAAGTGGATTTTTCATGATATGTCCCCTTTAAAGTGATTGTCTGGAGTTTGTCAGAAAGAGAGACAGAGAGGTACTTGATTTGAAAAAAACTACGCAAGCTCCCTCCCCCTTCCTTTCTGATTGGTCTACACATACGTTTCCGTAACACTTTGAAATGTTAATCAGAGAACATATTATACATATACATTATTAATACACATGCATGGAGGTTTTCAGAATTATTTCTGAACGTTTTAATGAAAAAAAATATGTTTTTATGCACACAAAAAAGCGATCGCGGCAAACCAGGAAGTGCTATTATCATGAATTGCACATTATAGGACACATCTGCAGAGGATCTGATTATCGATATAGGTTCAGTATATACATAAGTACCTCAGTGTGGATGTTCAGAATTCTTTGTTCAGTTTTCATGTAGTTCCAGAGCCTAATAGAGGCTCCACGAAAACAAACAACTGCGCATGCGCGCAGCTACGAGCATCAGCGCGATGATTGACAGCCCTTGGCATGACTCGGTTGGTTAACCTCGACGGCACCGTGGATTCTGAACTATAGCTAAGAGCAGGGATGGCGGGACTTGCCCATAATATTAGAATTAATAAAATGACTTATTTTATATCAACATTTAAGGCCAGGAGGTCAATTTAACACATTTCCTAAAATGTGTAATTAATTTAGAGTTACAGACTATCACTTTAATCTTGCCACATCTACAGAAGAATCGAGCATCCAAAACCAGGGGGAGGGAAGAGGGAGTAACTCAGCCTTCCACATTCAACAGATACTATGTTTTAAATCACAAATCAATACAAATATACTTTTTATTCATGATTCTGAAACATTATTTATCATAGCTTTTGACCCGCCCACGCGCAATATGGACTATTCTTCTCATAAATTTGGGACCCATGGACGCACACTCTCTCACACATGTATTAAACTCACGAAAACAGAAACAGAGGCGGTTTTGTCACTTCCACAGAAGCAAGTGTGTGTATATGTCTTTCTATGTGTGTGTGTGAGTGTGTCTGAGTTAATTGGATGAGTATGTGGGTATGTATGTGTGTGCTTGTACATGTCTGTGTGTGGATGGGTGTGTGCGTGTGTTTGTGTATTTGGTTGCATCGACAGTTTGTGTGTGTTGCCTGTGTGTGCATAATTTAGTATTTGTGTGTGTGGTGCATGTACGTGTGTCTGTGAGCGTGTGCGTGTGTACGTGTATATAACTGTGTGCGTGTCTGTGTGCGCGTATATTTGAGTGTATATGCATAAGTGTGTTTGTGCGTTCCTATATGTGCACGGTTGTTATTGGAGCCATCTAGTAGAGAGCAGAAGTAAAAAGCCGCAGCATCCTGACAGCACATCCCTGACCTGTCAAAGTTCACAAACATGGAGCTGCTGCCAATGTGTGAATGGGGAATATTCCCTGAAAGAGAAAGATCGATGTGGATGTGTGAATGTCCGAGGTTAAGGTGAATGGATTCCCTGCTTTCTCCCATGGACTCATCGTACGTCCAAGGTCTCCCTGTGTTTGTTTCTTCTTCAACTAAAAACTTGTAATGGTTAGAAGGTCACTGCCGTGTGTGAAGGGAATGGAAAATACACAAAATAGTAATGAGCTTTGTGCAACCTTGGACTGTGAAGCGCGCTCTTAGATCCGAATCCTATAACTGAGCCATCAGGAGCGTTTTCACTATTCTTATATTTGGCTTCCACTAGCCAATCTTAAATCAGCTCTCTCAGATTTCTGCACAACATTTTACTTTGCAACTTGTCATACTGAGTTTTAGATGAGCTTCAGGACAAGACTCGGGGGAAGCCTCCCATTCGCCAGGTCTATTTCTTGATACAGTGTATTTGTCACCTGTACAGGTGCACAGTTGTGTAATTGTCCAGGGAATGGTCCAGTTATCACATTATGGTTGTGTTACATCTGCACAATCTCAGCGCCGTGCTTCTTCAGAATGCTCCCATCGCTCTGTGGCTGATTATCAAAGCCACCAATGGTCATCTGATAAAACTTAAGTCTTCACAGACTGTATTTACTTTATAAACTAGGATGTTCTTCTCGTTTAGCAATCTAAACTATCAGGATTGTCTCGGGCAAATGGACAAGATTCCAAGGGCAACTACTGAAGGCAGCTGGAGGGGCTGAGACAGGGAGGCGGAGTCCCGTTTTCTCGTGTGTAGACCAAAAATGGCCTGTCCCCCCCATCCCTCTACAGATCATTTATTATTGTGTCCTTCAACCACACATTTGCTTTTAAAATTTTCTAAAATGTAAACAATCCGTCTTGCTTTTATCGAGCACTTACGTGGGTGAAAATATTATCTTTAAAGCATATTATTATTCTAATAACTTTATTTGTATTCATTTTTTTATTCAATCTTGTCATTTAAGTGCTCCTCTTTGGTTGCTGAGTAGTTGCTATCTGAGCATTTGGCTCCAGGTTCCTGTCCGTGGAACCTGGTTTGGGGTCGTGGGGGAACCCGGAGCACTTGGAGGAAACCCGCCCAGTCCCAGAGAGAACCACACCTTCCTGGTCCATGTGAGGTCTGACAGCTCGCGCTCAAAGATGGATGCATAGATGTATATAAGTGTATCCTACCACAGTTGTCCTCGTCCGCATGGTTCCCGCAGTCGTCCATCCCGTTGCAGTGCAGGACTTGGGGCAGACACAAGGTCAGGTTTCCACACGGGAAGAACCCCAGAGGACACACCAGCTTCTCCTCCGTCAGGTTGAGCGCCGCACACACTGGAACAGAGCACAATACCAGTTAACCAGCGACTGACTTGAATCACAAACGTACAGGCTCTGAGTCTTATTGTCCTATCCACTTTTCACTAAATAATAGTAATAATAATAAAGTATTGGTTTCATATAGCACTTTTTAGTGCCTCTACACTTGGTAGTCTGTAGAGGCGGTCTCGTGAAGGACTTGAACCCACAACCTTCAGGCTCAAAGGCCAATGCTCTACCAACTGAGCCACTTGTCACTTCTCTGCTGCAAAAGTATAAGATAAGAGATCCTTTATTCGTCCCACAGTGGGGAAATTTCGATGTTGCAGCGCACATACAGGACAGTAGTAAGAGCACACAGGGATCACACAATATATACAAATAAGTATTAGCTATGTTTCTTAACAAACATAACTAGCTGTAGATGCTGAAAATGCTTCAATACCAGTCAAAAAAAATATATATACAGTATATATGTAGTAGTGCAGAGCAATATACTGTACATATAGTGCAGAATAATAAGTGGATAAGTAAAGTGACATTGTTCAGTGGACATTCTGAAGTTGCAGTATTGCACATTGCACATGATTTAAGAATTTACTTATTTACAGATGAATGAAATTTACAGGCTCAGCATTTCTTATTGTACAGTCTGACAGCAGCAGGAAGGAAAAATAATAAACATCTGTAAATACCTGTACTTATCCTTGAACTTAGAAAAATAATAAGATGATAAAACTCTGGATCTATAACAAGCTCAAACTCTATCTTAAATCTTAAATAATAGATCCTGTTTTATGTTTGCATAACCTGAGTGCTCTTATTCCTCCTTTTGTTCTGCTGTACATTTCCACTCTAGTCTTATTTTATCTTATCTTATTGTATATACTGCCCACGTTTGTAATACTTGCATTTGCTTTTTCATCTTTTCAGTGAATGTTTTGTAGGAAGAATAAAATTGTATATATTCTGTCCATGTTTGCAAAATGGTCCTTTAAGCCCCATCCCCAAAGTTGCCAATCTAGAATCGTGCCGCTCACATCAATAGTAACTTATTTTACGCTGAAAATTTTTCCTTCTTATTTGCAAACATTTTTGGAAGTATATATTTAACATAACATAATAAATGGGTCTCTCGGTGCAGTTCAGAGTTCGATTATCAAACACAATACAGAGACACAATTCTGTTTTAGTGCAGTCCTTGCAAAACAAAGTCCGAGGGTTACTTTTCCTTCTCTACTTTTGCTTGTCCTTCCATTCCGAACATTCTCAAATCAAGAAATTCTTTAAACTGGAGCTGATTTTATAAACAACATGTTGGTTATTAGTCTAGTATCAAGTATTGCCAAGGATGCATTGCAAGCTTCAACACTGATATAATTCAGAACTTTAGGCAAGGCAAGTTTATTTGTATTGCACAGTTCATACACATACAAAGGTAAAGGTGCACTTTTAATTTACCCCCCGTAGGGCAATTCAATCCTCTGCATTTGACCCATCCTGATGCTGCTAATGCTTACGTCAGGAGCAGTGGTCACCGTAGAACAGTGCCCGGGAACCCATCTCGGCTTGGTCAGGACTAGAGCTGGAGGATTTTACCTACTGTGCATGATTTTAGTGGTAGGGTAAACTGGAGCACCCGGAGGAAACCTACGCAAGCACGGGGAGAACATACAAACTCCACTCAGAAAGGCCCAATTCCAACCGGGACTCAAACTCAGGACCTTCTTGCCGAGAAGCGGGAGTGCTATCCACTCAGCCACCAATTCAAACAATTCAAAGTCCTCAACAAAACAATATTATAGAAGGCATAAAAATGATATATATTCATAAAAAGAGAAGATAAAAGTACATTAATGAATCTAGCTAATAAATACAAGATTAAAACAAGCTAAAATCAATTAAAAAAAGAGTTTCAATACAAGTGCACAATTGGTGAAGCTTTATTGAATGAATTATAGCTTACTTTGTGCTTTTCAATGTTCCACCACAGATGAAAATAAAAAAACTACTCTCACCTCAAACCAATTCTGCTTCTAAATCCCACAATCTTCCTCTTCTCTGATCTACGATGTTTATTCAGGCCTCTCCATCCTTCCCTTCACACCAGGACTTCCATCCTCTCCACTGACGTGAACACGCAGCTCCATAAGCCAACACACCTTCTGCCCAATCCCTCTCCAACCGCTTCTTTTTGTCGCAGGGCTTTTGTTCTTTCTTCCTCCTAATCCTATAGCATTACTCAGTGCTGTAAATATCCTCTGTGTGAGTGGAGCTGACGGCACACTCAAGCTCTGTGTCATTGTACACAGTAGAAAAGCGTTTCCAGGAAAATGCTTGATTCATTTGAAGGTGCTGCTGATGTGGCCAACGCAATAAGATACATTGAAAGTAAATATATAATTAAGCTTCGTAAAGTATCACCTTGAAAAACATGCAAGGTCTTTGAATCAACCACACGATATTTTATTGATTTTAAAGGTTCCATATTACTCGTATCAACTTTTCTATTTGGCCTTCATACACATGCCCAGAGTCGTTTTTTTCATTGATTCCTCCAAGCTTTAATTAGAGAGCGATCTTACTGACCGAGGCAAAGAAACGCCTCGGTCCAAATCGTGACGTGGAACCGAATCATGTCGCAACAAGCCGCCTCCAGAAAGTGATTGACAGGTGAATGAATCAAAACAGTTTTCAAACCAGTGGCCCACTCAGAGGAGAGAGGAAGGACATATGCATATACAGTATGTAGATAACAAACAGTCCACAGCTGTTTCTCGCTGCGTAATGAGAAACACCTCATCTGTTTTCCAATCAAAACATGTACATATATATCTGTACATTTGTTTTATAGTTAGATTGTTTTCTCTGTGATTTTTGCCCAGCCCTGACCACCAAATACAGTGGGGCAAAAAAGTATTTAGTCAGCCACCAATTGTGCAAGTTCTCCCACTTGAAATAATGACAGAGGTCTGTAATTTTCATCATAGGTACACTTCAACTGTGAGAGACAGAATGTGAAAAAAAATCTTGTAGGATTTTTAAAGAATGTATTTTTAAATTATGGTGGAAAATAAGTATTTGGTCAATAACAAAATTTCAACTCAATACTTTGTAAAATAACCTTTGTTGTCACTAACAGAGGTCAAACGATTAGGTCTTTACCAGGTTTGCACACACAGTAGCTGGTATTTTGGCCCATTCCTCCATGCAGATCTTCTCAAGAGCAACACAGACTTTCAACTCCCTCCACAGATTTTCAATGGGGTAGAGGTCTGGAGACTGGCTAGGCCGCTCCAGGACTTTCAAATGCTTCTTACGAAGCCCCTCCTTCGTTGCCCGGGCGGTGTGTTTGGGATCATTGTCATGCTGGAAGACCCAGCCACGTTTCATCTTCAAAGCTCTCACTGATGGAAGGAGGTTTTGGCTCAAAATCTCACGATACATGGCCCCATTCATTCTTTCCTTAACACTGACCAGTCGTCCTGTCCCCTTAGCAGAAAAACAGGCCCAAAGCATGACGTTTCCACCCCCATGCTTCACAGTAGGTATGGTGTTCTTGGGATGCAACTCAGTATTCTTCTTCCTCCAAACACGACGAGTTGAGTTTATACCAAACAGTTCTACTTTGGTTTCATCTGATCACATGACATTCTCCCAATCCTCTGCTGTATCATCCATGTGCTCTCTGGCAAACTTCAGACGGGCCTGGACATGCACTGGCTTCAGCAGGGGACACGTCTGGCACTGCAGGATTTGATTCCCTGTCGTCGTAGTGTGTTACTGATGGTAACCTTTGTTACTTTGGTCCCAGCTCTCTGCAGGTCATTCACCAGGTCCCCCCGTGTGGTTCTGGGATTTTTGTTCACCGTTCTAATGATAATTTTCTAACGATCGAGGGAGATTATCAGTGGTCTTGCATGTCTTCCATTTTCTGATAATTGCTTCCACAGTTGATTTGTTCACACCAAGCTGCTTGCCTATTGTAGATTCACTCTTCCCAGTCTGGTGCAGGTCTACAATTATTTTCCTGGTGTCCTTCGACAGCTCTTTGGACTTGGCCATAGAGGAGTTTGGAGTCTGACTGTTAGAGGCTGTGGACAGGTGTCTTTTATCAGAATCATAATCAGAATCATTTTTATTGCCACGTAAGTAACAAGTGAAAGAACTTGTTATGCAGATAATGAGTTCAAACAGGAACCATTAATACAGGTAACAAGTGGAGGACAGAAGAGCTTCTTAAAGAAGATGGAGATGGAGAATGGAGATGGAGAAACTGGAGGAACAAGCCCTGGTCTCTTACCAAGGGACAGCGCCAAGCCATTGGTTTCGATATGTAGACGATACATGGGTTAAGTTAAAGAAACAGGAAGTGGAACCATTTTCAGAACACATTAATTCGGTGGACCCTTTTATAAATTTCACTCGCGAGGATGCTAAGGAGAGTGAACTGGCCTTTCTAGATTGTAAGGTCATCATACTGGAGAACGGACAATTAGAGACTGAGGTCTTCAGAAAGTCCACTCACACTGACCAGTACCTGGCCTTTGATTCAAATCATCCGCTACAACACAAACTCGGGGTCATTAGAACGCTTCAACACCGAGCCCACCAGGTCCCCACAAGCTCGGAGGGAAAGAACAGAGAAACCAAACATGTTCAGAGAGCACTTTCCAGATGTGGCTACCCCAAGTGGTCTTTTACTAAAGCCCAAAGGACGAGAAAGGCCAGAGACACAGTCCAACAGACAAAAGAAAGTAGGAGGAGAGGCGTGTCCTTACCGTATGTGGCGGGAGTTTCAGAGAAACTACAAAGAATCTTTAGGCAACACAAAATCCCTGTGTATTTCAAACCTTTCAACACGTTAAGACAGAAATTCGTGCATCCTAAAGACAAAACACCCAGACACAAACAGAGCAATGTGGTGTATTCAATTAAATGTAGTGAAGAGGAGTGCACTGACCACTATATTGGAGAAACCAAACAAACTCTACAGAAACGACTTTACCAACATTGTAGAGAAAACTCTAGTGGGCCACAGTCGGCTGTTTATCTCCACCTCAAGGCCTCCAACCACACGGTGGATGACACAGAGGTTAAAATTCTGGCTCGGGAGAAGAATTGGTTTGAGAGAGGAGTGAAAGAAGCCATTTTTGTGAGGAAACAAAAACCTTCTCTTAACAGAGGAGGAGGGTTAAGATTTGTTTTGCCTCGCATCTATGACGACATCCTAAAAACAACGCCCTAACTTGGGACAAGGTCAGTGACATGCTAATGAGTTAGGAGGGGTGAAACCTGCACTCCACTTGAGCATCCCAGCAGACAATAGGTCTGTGACATGCTAAAGAGTTAGGGTCGTTAGCCTCAGCAGGGTCGTTAGACCTGCTCCCTTCTACATCAAACAGACCTTAGATTGTTTATGAGTTAGTATCAGGATTAGGGTGTGGCTAACCACACCCATAGGTTATAAATCTCCAACACGCAGTCCGAGAATTCATTCCCTGAAGAAGTCCGCTAGGTTGAGGACGAAACGTCGGGAAAACTTGCTAAGAAGTACAGATGATGGGTGAGAAACCTTCCTTTGCTCTTAAAGAAGAAGTTACAGGTCTGTGAGAGCCAGAGATCTTCCTTGTTTGAAGTGACCAAATACTTATTTTCCACCATAATTTACAAATAAATTCTTTAAAAATCCTACAATGTGAATTCCTGGATTTTTTTTCACATTCTGTCTCTCACAGTTGAAGTGTACCTATGATGAAAATTACAGACATCTGTCATTATTTTAAGTGGGAGAACTTGCACAATCGGTGCCCCACTGTATATCTGCCCTTTCATATCAATAGCCTGTGCACAGTAGATGTGCATGTTTCATTTGTTTTATTAATTCATTTGAAATGAAGTGCCTGTCAATGAACAGACACATTTGAAACATCAATGTAAACTTGACAGATTAGAGCCAAAAACCCTGGAGGATTAGTATTATTACTCTGATCATTGTGTTAATCGCGGAGGAAGTCTGAGATCTTAGTCGGGTGGGAAAGAGCCATGTCTGTAATTTGTAAAGTAATAATTCCGCCCCACAAATTACCTCCTGTGAATGGCCAAACACAGACATCCAGTGATAATAATAATCCTGTGCAAATCTGCTTGTCAGTGATTGTGATAGCTATTACCTCCTGCTCTACTTTTTGCGTTTTTTGTCAATATCTGGCTTTTTTTTTTTCATATCTCTTCTCGGTGTAACAGGCCATTTTATACCCCCTGGCCAGTTTATACCCCGAGTTTAAAATAGCCTAATTTTGGTTATTCTATTCATATCAACCCCCCTCTTGTTTTTTCAATAATAATACAAAATATGTTATAAAATATTTTTGTTAAACTTCAAAGGAGCAAGATGGCGCCGTATCAGAACTTTGGATACTGCGGTAGAAAAACAAGAATACAAATAAAACACACACATAAAATAGCTGCATCCCTGCGCAGATCACAGTCCACACATTAAAAATCCACTGAGAGTCCACAATGTTGGGGTCCACATGATTTTTATTACACACATCCAGGTTTTGCACAATTAATATTGTTGCTAACCAGCGCTTAATTAGAGCCGGAACATGTTCCCTCATCTGCAAAATTGGATCCAGCAAGTCCGCATGCGTGCAAGATCAAAATAAATGAATTATATTGAAACTTCTATGCATTTGCTTACGCTTTGAACCTTGCCTAACATATGAACAAATGGGAATGTGACCCCCCCGGTAGACTAAGTAGGGCTGCTTTGGTTAGGGTTACGGTTGGTAAAAATACATAAAATGTCCAATTACTCATTCGGTCGAATACGTTTCTTCACAATGTTGCTTAAGTATTTTGCATTCGGCCGACATTCTTCATATTCTCTCTCAAAATGAACGCTTAAATGTTGAATTTTCAAAAGGATTGTTTATATTTTGCTCTGCTGTGTATTTTGGGTAGCGTCACGGCTTCGCTTGGTTTATCAACCGTGTCATTGTTTCTAAGCGTTTCATTGGCTCACTACGTTTCCAGGCTTCTTGTTGGTGCAGAGCATTGTAGTAGGAGGCTCTCTTGTCATCGTTATGTGAGAAGATGAAATAATGTGAATTTTAAACCACATTTGGAACATGCTATTCAGAGG